TTCTTCACCTCCCTCCCCTGTCCCATAGTGTTCTTCACCCCCTTCCCTGTACCACAGTGTTATTCACCCCCCTTCCCTGTCCCATAGTGTTCTTCCCCTGTCCCATAGTGTTCCTTACAACCCCTCCTTACATAGTTTTCCTTTCCACCCCCGCTCCCCCATAGTGTTCCTTACCACCCTCTGTCCCATGGTGTTCTACCTCCCCCATCCCATAGTAATCTTTAACTATGCCATAGTGTCATCCCCGTCCCCCTGATCCCTTAGTGCCCCTCTCTCTCCCCTCCTTGGTCCCCGCTCCCTGGTGTGTTTCCTAGTAGCATGGTCGAGTAGAGCAGTGTGCACTGCGGTACAGGAGATTCAGTCTCCTGTACCCGGCCGGACTGACAGGAAGTGCTCTCAGTGAGCACTTCCTTTCAGTCCGGCCGGGTACAGGAAACATAACTTACTGTACCGCGGTGCGCACTGCTCCGTTCTGCCATGCTACACAAAGTGTCTGGCAGGAGGGAGCACTGTGCGCCCACCTCCAGGGCCGGTGCAAAGAATTTTGGGTACATAGGCGAAGATGCATTTTTCCGCCCCCCCAAAAACATCTTCACCCATGTGCCTCTTAACCTCCCTTTTGTGTTTCTTATCCCATCTTTTAAATATCTGACTCCCTTTAGTGTATTTTATCTCCTATTTTTGCCTTTGTGTGTCTCCTATCTCTCCTCTTTGTATGACTCTTACATCCTCCCACATTTTGTCTTACTCCTCCCAGCCCCTTTGTGTGACTCCTTTTCTCCCAGCCCATTTGTGTCTTTTATTCTTCCCAGCTCCTTTGTGTGTGTCTCTTTCCTTCTCTAGCCCCGCTGTGTGTTTCTTTCACATCCGGCCCCTCTCCCCGTCCCTTAATGGTCCCCTCCCTTCTCTGACCCTTACTGTTCCTTTCCCTTCCCGCCTCCTTTCCCTGTCCCTTAGTGTTCCTCTCCCCTCCCCCATCTGTTGGCTGTCGCTTAGTGTTCCTCTCCCCCCCTCCCTCCTTTTCCTGTACCTTAGGATATCTCTCCCCTCCTCTCCCTGTCCCTTGGTGCGCCACCCACCCCCATAGTGGTCCCCTCCCCTTCCTGGTGTGCCTCCTACCTTTCTTTGTAGTGTGGCTGAGCGGAGCGAATCCCGGTACAGTGAGCTTTTCCTGTAAGTTCTGCCAGGTACAGGAAACAGAAGTTCCTGTACCACGGTACACTCCGCTTGGCCACGCTACAGTCAGGGGTGTATAAACACTGACAGTCACACACACACTCAATGACAAACATACAGACATCTCTGACAGCCAGACTCACTTATCTGACACACTCATTCATTGACAGACACTCACACGCACACTGACAGACTCATTGAAAAACACACACTGACACACACACAAACTCACAGACACTGACAGACACACGTACTCACATGCGCACATGCACATACTGACAGACACACATACTCACACACACACTGACAGAACCACACACACACACACTGACAGAACCACACAGACACACACACTCACACACACATACTCACATGCACACACACACTGACAGACACACATACTCACACACACACTGACAGACATACTCACATGCACACACACACACTGACAGACACACATACTCACACACACACTGACAGACATACTCACATGCACACACACACACTGACAGACACACATACTCACACACACACTGACAGACACACATACTCACACACACACTGACAGACATACTCACATACACACACACACACAGACAGACACACACACACACACACACACACACACACACACACACACACACACTTTGCCAACCAGACACACTCACTCACACACACACTGACAGACTCACTCACTCACACACACACTGACAGACACACATACTCACACACACACTGACAGACACACTCACTCACACACAAACTCACATAGTCACATAGTCACACACACACTGACAGACACACATACTCACACACACACTGACAGACACACTCACTCACACACACACTGACAGACACACACTCACACACACACTGACAGACATACTCACTCACACACACTCACACACACACAAACTCACAGTCACAGTCAGACACACATACTCACACACACACTGACAGACACACATACTCACACACACACTGACAGACACACTCACTCACACACAAACTCACATAGTCACATAGTCACACACACACTGACAGACACACATACTCACACACACACTGACAGACACACTCACTCACACACACACTGACAGACACACTCACTCACACACACACTGACAGACATACTCACTCACACACAAACTCACATAGTCACACACACACTGACAGACTCACATACTCACATGCACACACAGAAATTAAAAATCTTAATTAAATTTAAATTTCCCACCCAGCCTCCCTACCTGGAGAGCTGGCGTGGGTCTCTCATTGGTGGTCCAGTGGGGCTGCTGGGAGGCTTGCGGCTGAATTGGATTCCTAGGTGGCGAGGGAGCTCTGATCTCTCTGATGTGCTCCCTCGCAGGCTGCTTACTGATGCCGCGGGAGCCGGAATATGACGTCATCAGTCAGCAGCCTGCGAGGGAGCAGATCAGAGAGATCAGAGCTCCCTCGGCATCCAATTCAGCCGCACGCCGCGCCGGGGATCCAGGAGGTGACCTGGCAGGAGGGAGCACTTCCCTCCTGCCGGTCACCGGAATTTTGCGCCCCCAGAGCCAGTGCGCCCTAAGGCGGCCGCCTGTGCCGCCTTATGGACGCGCCGGCCCTGCCCACCTCCTGCCAGTCACTCCGCTATAGCACCCCCCAGGCCGGTGTGCCCTAAGGCGGCCGCTTGGACGCACCGGCCTACTCATTAATTATCGGTATTGCCGGTGATTATCGGACTATACCAATACTTACAAAAAAAATAAAAATCAGAATATCAGATAATATCGGCAAAAACGATAATTGGTCGATCCCTAAGCAGGGGTGTCAAAAAAGGTAGATCCACAGATGTTGTAGAACTACAACTTCAATGATGCTTTGCATGCATTTAGAATGTTTTTAGAATGACAAAGCATCATGGTAGCTGTAGTTGTAAAACATCTGGGGATCTACCTATTTGGCACCCGTGACCTGGAGGAATGGACTTAATCAGCAGTTCACAATAGGAGTGGACTTGCCTTGACTTATGTCTACACATGCAAGAATTTTAGGTTTTATTTATTATGTTGTTTCTTACTATTTTATTTTCTAAATAATATAAGTTCATATTGTAGCAAAACCATATGTACAATATGCAAGCAAGACTTTTAAATGACAAAGGTGTTGTTTGTATTTAATTCAAAGCAAGTGTGGATGTTTCCTGCACCAATAAGACTTTAGTCTGTGTTCCTGAAATCACTTTTCATTGTGTGCAGAGATTGTAATTATTTTCTATAAAAGAATATATGTGCTTGCTGGAATCAGGTCAGCTGCATTATTTCTCAAATCTCCGGCTTTGGGTGAAGCATTTATTTCCTTTGGTAAGGGGATGATGACCAGTGCTAAATAATCATTAACGCAGCTCAGTTACAGATGAAGTCAAGTTAATGATTTTTTTCTTGGTTTATGAAACAAACTTTTTCTTAAACAAAATTAATAGTGCTGCTTAGGCTTTAAGTGCACTAACAGCGCTTCCAAAACGTCAGATTTAAAGTGGCACCATGTTCAGGCTTCAATACATAGGCCAATTTGTTAGAAATTAAAGCAACATTATAGGGTCAGGAACCCAAACATATTTTTGACCCTATAGTGTTAAAAACACTATCCAGCCCTTTATCCCCTAAATATAGTAAAAACTTACCTTTATTCCAATCAGCTAGTGCTGACTGTCCCTGATCTGCCTCCATGGCTGACATCGTCAGAAGTGTTGTACTAAGCCAATCATAATGCTTTCATGTAGGAAAGCATTGGATTGGCTGAGTTTTTGTAATTCTGATTATTTCAGCCAAAGAGACATGCCAAAACACTGCCATTGCCAATCAGCATCTCCTCTTAGAGATGCATTGAATCAGGGTGGAGACACTGAATGTCAGTCCTGAACAGTGTGCAGCACTGACCCAGGAAGCACCTATAGTTTATCACTTTATTATCACTGATTGTTTTTTTTATTGATTGTTAATTGTATACCCTATATATTGAGGAGTTGTACACTCTGGTGTTAGCTTGACAACGATCCGAGTGTGGATCAAGCTTTGCGGTGTTTGCCGTGCTTCTCTAATAAAACTGCTATTTGAAAAGACCCTGAGTGCCTGGACTACATTGTCTTCACTATACTCACCAGAACAACTACATTAAACTGTAGTTGTTCTGGTGACTATAGTGTCCCTTAATATTAGAAGGTTTTGTCACAGATGCTGTGGACTGCAGCAACTATCTTTCTCAGCCAGGTACAGAGTCATTTCCAGGGGTCATATATCTTAAAGCAAGGCTTAGTAGTATTAGGTTCTGCACTCAATATCCTCCTATATAAAAATTATGTTTGCAGTCCACTGCGTTTTCAGTGTGCTTGTTAAGTAGGGTTAAGTATATAATTAATCATGGAGTTAATATTGGTGTTTAGATTAAAGGATCACTATAGGGTCAGGAACACAAACATGTATTCCTGACCCTATAGTGTTAAAACCACCATCTAGCCCCCCTGGGCCCCTCATGCCTCCATAAATATAGCAACATTTTACTGTATTCAAGCCAGAAGATGTAACTCTGCATGTGGTTTGCCTAAAAAAAAAAAAACAAGCAGTCTGCTGACATCATCAGAAGTGGTAGCCTGATCCAATCACAGTGCTTCCCCATAGGATTGGCTGAGACTGACAAAGATGCAGATCAGGGGCAGAGCCAGCATGATTCAAACACAGCCCTGGCCAATCAGCATCTCCTCATAGAGATGAATTGAATCAATGAATCTCTATGAGGAAAGTGCAGTGTCTGCATGCAGAGGGAGGATATACTGAATGTTCAGATGCATTTTAGGCAGCCATGACCTGGGAAGGATCTCTAACAGCCATCTGGAGTGGCCAGTGAAGTTATCACTAGGCTGTAATGTAAATACTGCATTTTCTCTGAAAAGACAGTGTTTACAGCAAAAAGCCTGAAGGTAATGATTCTACTCACCAGAACAAATTCAATAAGCTGTAGTTGTTCTGGTGACTATAGTGTCCCTTTAATTTTGAGCTTTTTTAACTGTGAGCTGCTAGCATAATGTAAAGCTAGACTTTGCCTGGTTCCATTTTACCTTACATGCATTTTAGTTGTACATTCTCATATTTTATTTTGTTTGTTTTTTTGTGCTCAACCAGGGCACTAGTTTATAGTGCACATGCACCTGACTCACAAATCTTGCAGATGCACTATCACGGTAAAAAATCTAAAATGGCAGTTATCCTAAAATGGATTATTGGCAGATGTTGTCTTGACATCCTGGCCCCTGAGAACACATGAATATTCAGCAAAGTCTGTAGTTATTTATATGACATTTGATGAACTTGTGTATTTACATACAACTGTGTGATCTTGTGCACCTCTACTCACTATCGATGACATATTTGCACTTGTAGTTTTATGGTGTCCTGAGTCAATACAGTCCAAAAACTTCCCAATATAGGAAAGCATGAATACTAGATATCACTATGTGAGTAAATAGCTATGTGTGGTCTTGTGGGTTTCCTGCCTTTAAAATGGACAGGTTCAGCCATAATGAGGTGTATCAATCTTTCAAGTTACCCACAAATATGCATTTACCTACACCAGGGACAGGTAACCTTCGGCATTCCAGATGTTTTGGACTACACCTTCCATGATGCTTTGCCAGATTTATGGCTGTAAGAGTATTGTTGGAGATGTAGTCTACAACATCTTGAGTGCTGAAGGTTGCCTAACCCTGACCTAGACATTATACACAGATATATGCATTCACACTAGCATTATATAATACACACATGCTATCATACCTATGCAGAGAACTGTAACCCATCTGAGTGGCACCTCATTCTCTTAATCCGAATCAGGCTGCACACACACATAGAAATTCCCACTTACACCTTATACACAAATACAGTACAAACATGAACATTCATACTACACACAGTATGCTCACATAGTGTCATTATTCACATGAATGTTTACTGACATTACACGCATGCATTCACAATGATGCCTCACACATATTATTATTATTATTATTATTAATATTGGTATTTATATAGCACCAGCTTATTCCGCAGCGCTTTGCAATGAAAGGGGAATTTACCATATGAGACAATAACAAAATGTAACAGGAACAATAGGTAGTTGAGGATCCTGCTCAAACAAGCTTACAGTCTAGAGGAGGTGGGGTATAACAACACAGTAGGAAGGGTATTAAGAGAGACAGCAAATAGACATGGTCGAAAAAGTGGCAGAACTGGAGGTGAGAGTGGAATGTGGCCATATAGGAGAGAGCGAGAGGAAGGTTTGAGAGATAAAAGTTACTCTTGGAGGAGATAAGCATTTCTGAAAAGATTTTGAAGGACTTCTTAAAAAATTAAAGACCAGGGGGAATTCTGACAGGTGTAGGCACTCTGTTCCAAAGGAAAGAAGCTGCCTGTGAGAAGTCTTGCAGGCGTGAATTTGCAGTAAGGGTGCAGAGAGCAGCCGACAGGAGAAGGTCACTAGTAGAGCGCAGAGACTGAGAGGGGGCATACCTATAAATCAGTGAAGAACTGTAAGAGG